CACAGTTTACCTAGAGCTAGGATTTTTGTAGGGGAGCATGAGAGGAGGAGAAACCATGCACGTAGAAGGGGAAAAAATCTCAAACAAGGAAAAGAGGAAGCCCTAAATGGAGGTCAGCAAAAAGGGTCAACCATAGCCAGTGAAGACCATGGTTGGGGGTTCCTCCAGTCTCAAAGGGTAGTAGGAAGTTGCTGGATGATCACAGGTCAATTTCCCTTACCAGGAGAGGCATTTATGCTGACCAGTGAGGGGAACTCACCAATCCAGCTGGTGTTGCATGCAAGAGATAGCAATCTGGTTCCTGGAAAGTGAGTTGCAGGTGGATTTTGGTTTCCAACAGCTCCAAGGGGTTCTGGCGCCAAAAAGCAATCACCTCATGCTGTGGCCACTGGAGGCACCTATTCCCAGCCAAGCCCACCAATGTTAAGATTGCGCAGCAAAATTACACTGCGGGTTCCCATATCATGGCACATGACTGGTTCCATGTGGGAGGTTTACTAAGGGAAGAAGGAAAGGGTCACAGAGACCATCTCTGGGCAGGGTAGGAGAGATTGGAGGTGGTGCGAGTTCTCTTATAAGGTGACCTAGAGCATGTGCAGGTGGTTTAAGGTGGTCTGTGGGTGGCTTCACAGATGCCTGATATCTGGTATGTCAGGTCCCTTGGTGGTAGCCATAGAGATGCCTGCCTAAGAATCCCAACACCCTGTGCCCACTGCCAGCTATTACAGTCCCCTGGCCAGTTATGTATCTTGGTACAGCTAGTTTCCCATTTAACCTACCATAGTGGAGAAGACTTTGCATCCTTTTGGGACTCCCCCTCTACCCTAAGGTATCTGCATGTCAGAGCAAAGAGGGAACCCATCTCTACCCTAATGTTGGTTGTCATCCTGGGGTTAGGGCTGCAGGGGCTAGAACAGGAATCTCTTCCTTGACACTCCAGGATCGACACTATAGTCAGTTTAGGGAATCTATAGATGAGGATATCAGTAGATTAGAGACTGCCATCTCCCACTTGCTGGACCTCTTGTCCTCTTTGGCTGAAGTTGTATTACAAAATAGAAGAGGATTAGATCTCTTATTCCTGCAGCAAGGGGGAAGGGCTTTGTTGTTTTTACATGGATCACTCAGGTATAGTTAAAGATTCTATGGCCAAAGTATGAGAAGGCCTAGAAAAGAGAAAAAATGAATGGGAATAATCCCAAAGTTGGTTTAAATCATGGTTTAATATTTTCTCCTGGTTAACTGTTGTGTCCAGTTTGTGAGACTCCCAAAGACCAGGAATAGACTCCACTGTAAATACATGAGTTTTTGTTTGTTTGTTTGTTTGTTCTCTCTTCCCATTACTATGTATCCCACTTGGACACTAAACTGCCATGGGCTATATCTGTGCAGGGGTTCTAGGTTATCTCCATGCATGGTACTTGGTTGGAATATAAGTCTCTGGAAAGACCCCTGTGTTCAAATTTTCTGGTTCTGTTGCTCTCCTTGTGGGGTTCCTGTCCTCTCCAGATCTTAACTATTTCCAACTTCTTTCATAAGATTCTAGGCACTCTGCCCAACAGTTGGCCATAAGTCTCAGCATCTGCTGGACAGGATCATCCTGAGTGAGCTGTCCCAGAAGTAGAAAGATACACACGATATATACTCACTCATATAGACATATAATATAGGATAAACCTACTAAAATCTGTACATCTAAAGAAACTAATCAAGAGGGAGGACCCTGACTAAAATGCTCAATCCCCATTGAGAAAAGCAAAGTGGATGGACATCCGAAGAAGAATAAACAGGAAACAAGTTAAGAACCTGCCACGGAGGGCCTCTGAAAGGCTCTGCCCTGCAGACTATCAAAGCAGATGCTGAGACTTAGGGCCAACTGTTGGGCAGAGTGCATGGAATCTTATGAAAGAGGAACAAGGTTTTTAAAGGTCAAAACCGAAAGCAGGGACTTACATGCTTTTGGCAGTTACATGACTGGGTAAGGGAAATTGACTTTTGAAATGATTGGTCCATTTTAGGAGCCAAGACCACAAACAGTTCTGGCCTGGCCATATGGACTGGTTTCCTAACAACTGTATAACTAGTGGGTGGGGAAGGAATGCAGTAAAGCTAGTTCTTCCCTGAAGGTGGCTGGACATATCTCCACCTAGCTGGCCTCAGGCTTGTCCTTTAAACTTTAAAATAATAGCCACTGATTTTTAACCCTTTGGTCTCTCATAACAACATTGGTCTCCAGCATAATGGGACCCCACCTCATTCTTCTATTGTTGTTAGCCTTTAGGCTTTGCATTCTTAAGAAGCTATTAAAATATATAAAACAAAGATTGGCAACTATTCTGTTAATGGTACTGAGATCCCAATATCAACAACTCAATACTCAGCTATCAGAATTCTAAGGAGCCCAAGATTGACCTCCCTAGTTATCAGAAAAAGGGGGGAATGAAGGAATTGAAGATAACTGGTCTGACTCCATTTTGTTTCTTAAGTTGACTGTTCTTAGAGTGACTTGGCCCCAACCTTCAGATTCCAAGAAAACCACCTGGTCCTCCACCCCTCAGAAACCTACATGAATACTACAGAATGTGTTAATAGATAACTATAATCAGGCCTTCTACCCTACAGGTTTTCCTGAATATCACAGAATGTGTTAATGGTTCCTCCACCCAACAGTCTATTGTACAGATATCTTAGATATCTTACAGTTTGGCCAGGTGGCTTGGAACAATAAGCCTAAAGGTCATCTTGCTTGCTGAACACCCCCACCCAATCTTATCCTTCGTTGTAATGCCAAGGTTTGGAATTCACCCTCTTGTGGTTTTTCCCTTTCTGACTCCCTGAGACTCGAGGCCTCACTTTCTAACCTGCTGTGACAGGGAAGATTGGCAGCCTGAGCTTAAGTGTGAATAAAGCCCTTGTGTGTTTGTATTGGACTCACGTTCCTGGTGGTCTCTTCAGGTTTGCAATCTAGGTATAACAAATCCAGTGAGGATTATTGGATGGACATTGAGATAGAGAGAAAGAGGGAAGGAGAGAGAGACATGGTGGGGGGGTTGGACAGAGAGAGGGAAGAGAGAGCAAAAGAAGGGAAGATCAAGAGAGCTAGAGATTAAGAGATAATAGAGAGACAAAGTGGCAGGTCGGTCCTTTTATTGAGCAACTGAACCATGCCTGCCAGGTGTGACTACCTGGCTGGTGACACATGATGACATCATAGGTTGCTAGGCAACCCAGACGCGGCCTGCCTAAATACTAACACTCTAGGCTCAGGATTTTTAGCTTTGTTGGTCTTCTCCTTTCCACTCCATGTCCTTCTACCCCCTCCTTCTTCCATAAGACTCCTTGTGCTTTGCCCAAAGTTTGGCTGTGAGTCTCAATATCTGCTTGGATCCTCTGTTGGATGGAGCCTTTCAGAGGACCCTCTATAGTAGGCTTTTATCCTGTTCCCTCTCTTCCACTGCTTCTGGTGTCTATCCTGCTTGCCATTCTGAAGCTTAAATCACATTCAGAGAATGAATTTTTTGATAGCAGTAATTATTCACAATCATGCCCATATTCATGTTGCTTCTGAAATACAAAAAAAAAAAAAAAAAACAAAAACAAAAACAAAACAAAACAAAAAAAAAAAACAGTGGAATGCTAAGTCATTGAAAACTTACTTTTGGAGTGCTTTTGAAATTTGGTAGTTTTTCAGCCAGGCACAGTGGCACACACTGTAATCCCAGCACTTGGGGAGGCAGAGACAGATGGAGCTCTGTGAGTTCAACTCCAGCCTGGTCTACAAAGTGAGTCTAGGGCAGTCAGGGCTACACAGAGAAACCTTGTCTTGAAAAACAAACAAACAAACAAAACAAAACCAAAAAAAGAAAAAGAATTTGATACTTTTTTATTGTTTTAACGATCAACCTCTCTTGTGTCTAGATTGCTAGATGTATCTTTATGTCTTAGATTGCTAGATGTAGCAGGGTCTTTTAAGACAATACAATGTGCTTCCCTTTTCATTTAGTCATTGATGATTCTAAAGGTATTGAAGAAATGACTTACCCAAGGCAACAGTAATTTCCAGAGTCTTCCCTCAAGCCTAAGTTTCTTTGTTTTAATCTTTCTGTCTCTTTCCCACTCTGTTACTTTGCTCAGACTGCTTTTTCTCCTTTTGCTTTATATTTTGGATCAGTCGATATTTTTTCTCTTGAGCTTTTATATTCTCGCCAGCACTATGGACCCGCTGTTGCCCTATTCTCCCTTGAAGAAAGCTTGAGCTGACAGTTTTGAATTGGATCCACACTGCTACTTCATTGGGGTGGGGTGGAAGTTAGGTCATTAGGGAATCAGTATGGCTGAACTGTTTCTTCTTAGTGAAATGTGAATGACAACTTTTTGATGTACAGTTTTTTTAGGAGCTCATTATTATCCTTGGAGATGGAATCTGAGCAGACAAGATTGTCAAACCTTTATCTGGAGCCTGAGGCTAGAAGGCAAGCCCATAGAAATGGAAGGGAGAGAAGAGAGAAAAGGAGGATGCTCACTCTTCATTCCTGAAGAGGGAAGTAAGCATCTCACAGCGGTTTGGTAATCCATACTTCCTTTATCTTCTATTTGTTCTTAGCCTTCTGCTCTTTTTTCTCCCCTTTGCTTGCCCTGCTCCTCCCCTTCTCTCTGAGCTTCCCTCAATTTCTCTGCTGGAAACCTCAAAGAATAAAATACTACTTTAGTCTTTCGTAAAACAACCACAGATCTAAAGCCTTTGCAGCTCTTTATTAGGAACCCCAGCGTTGCTATGTGCTCAGCACCAGACAGTGGTAAAGCCAGCGAAGGGGGTGGGGAGCATGGGAGGAAGGTTGGGCGGGAGGATGAGAGGGAGGGAGGGAAGTAAAGAGGGAGGGGAAAGAGGACAGAGGGAGGGAGGAAAGGAGAGAGAGAGAAAGAGAGGGAGGAAGGGAATAAGGGAGGGAGGGAGAGAGGAGAGGAAGAGCGTGAGCGCGCGCTAGCTAGCTAGCTAGCAAAGCAGAGAGACAGACAGGGACTAGGACAGACACCTAGAGAAAGAGAAGAAGCCGCGCTCTATCAGGGCTTAGCCTCCAACTTGTTTCAGTTCATTCATCCTTTTTTCCCTCTCTGCATCGGGGAAGTGACTGTGGCACTCGGTAAGAGACAGAGATGTTCCTTCTTCCCCCTCCCCCCAAGCCCTGGTCTCCTTTCCTGATAGCATCTCTCTCTTCCCAGTAAGGAGAGTCTCCTTGGATTGATCGGGAGGCGAGACATGCTCTGCAGTTGTGATGCTATCGTGGGTTCCCCAGTGGGGCTGGTGGAAGCCCAGAGGCGGCATCTGGGCTGGGAGGCGCTGGGGTAAAATCTGGTTTGAAGAAGGGGGTTTGCGATCTGGTGGTGTATGCGCGATTTGCTTCATTGTCAGTAAATTGTTGTGTTCCTCTTTGGAAGCAGGTCAGCATTGACCTTGCAAATTGCTTGGGGGGCCCAACAGCTGCTGCAGAAAGCTACAGTGTGGCCCCTAGCCAGAGCAGACAGCACTGTCATGACCCCCCAGACAGCCCTAGGCAACAAGGATGGGGTAATGGCTGGAGCTCCCTCCTTTAACTCTTTCTCTGCAGCTGTGTCTGGCTGCTGGAATTCAGAAGGAAGGAGGAGACTGTGCATCCCCTTTTCTCTCTCCCTATTGCAGTCCCCAGATGCAAGTGAGTAGAAAGTTGTAAATAACTGCTTCCTTTTAAGCAGGTGGAACCCTTCCCCCTTTCTTTTAGAGGCTCTCTCTGGGGTTGGGTCCCACTTTTACAAACTTGGGAGGCTTTTCTGGCTTCAGTGAGGGAAGTCTCCATTCCTTGCCCACCCCTAATCCCAGGTAGCTGTACTGAAAGCCTAGATCATGAATTCAGATTTAGCATATCCCTTATTGGTGGGCATCCTCTTAGGTCCAGGTGTGTCCTTGGGAGGTGGATGGAAACACCTGATGGTATGTGTAGAGATTTCTTCCCAGTAGGCTGTCCCGTGACTGTGGCTGGGGGATGGGCTGCTGGGCAGGAGAAGAGCAGGTGAAGCTAGTATTTCCATTAGGAATGGTATGAATTGGTGAAGATTGGTTCCTCAGCTTCTGCCTCCCCCTTGATTTGCTTGAAGCTATGAGAGGACCAGCTGAAACTACTGTATCACTCCTGAACTTGTAAGGGACAGAGTTACTCCATAGAGGCTTCTCTATGGAGTTAGTGACACTGTCATGCCCATGGTAATAATTTTAGGATGAATTGTAGCAATCACTAACATTCTGAGTATTTAATGTTTCTGATCTGAGCTGAGGGTTTCATGGGTATTACCTCATTGAGTTTTTATGTCAAATCTGTGAAGTTGCAGATTCTTACTATTTTTGGTTTACTGATGAGGAAACTGAGGTACAACAAGGTTAAATAGCTTGTTAAATGACAGAGTACAGCCACTTCTAGTGGGAAATGAAAGCACAGGGTACTGGATCGCCAGTACTCCTCTGCTGTCAAGTGTAGGAGCAGCAGGAATAGCTGCTCTTGGCTTTGGGGAGCAACTAGTGACCTTGTGTAAAGCAATAAGAAGTGGGAGTGGTGTGGGACCCAAGGCTTCCTCAAGGGCCCTAGAAGGCTGCTCTTGGCTAACCTACTTTCAGTTTTGGGAAGGATGCCTCGAACAACTTTACTTTTCTGTGATCACAGCTGAAACCATTCTGCATCTACCTTCAGATTATCTTTTCAAAATGGATCTGGCTGTTAATTTTTGAGAGCTTGGTTGAACATTTGTGAATTGTAGACTCTCCCAACTAGAAGACTTCCTAAAAGTCAGTAAGCTCTATTTTGCACCAAGTTCTTGAGTTTGTCCTAAGTGCCCCATTTGTTGCTTGACTGCAGTGACAGAGGGCTTATTGTTTTTTTTTTTTTTTTTGTTTTTTTTTTTTTTTTTTTTTTTTTGGTGTGTGTGTGTGTATGCTTTTGAGCAACTGTGCCAGAAATTTTATAAAACCTATGACTTCTGTTCTTGATTCTTTGGAGGTATCTGAAAGAAACTTGTTATTTCTTAATAGTTTTTTCTTCAGCTAGTTAAAGATGGTGATCATGCATTCTCCTCAAGTCTTACGTCTGACAAGACTACAAATTAAAGGGAAAAAGTTGACTTCTGGAAACTAGACTTTTTAGTTATGTCACCTTCAAACTCACATCCCAGAACTTTTTAAGAAGCTCTGATAGTATAAGTTCTGGTCCTTGAAAGAACCAGCTATCTGATATCATCTCGAATGCTGCAAACAAATACTTTTTCTTTTTCATTTCTAAAGACCAGGGGTACTTTGGGGCTAGTTGTTCTAAAACTACAAAAGATCAACATAATAGCTAGACAATGGGTTTAGGGAATAAGGGGTTCTAGAGCCAGAGATTAAGAAGAAATATTAGTAAGAAGATTTTTGACCTAGTGGTGACTTTAAGACCCATACATGATTTGGAAAATAGAAGAAAAACTGTTAGAATGATGGCTATAACTGAACAGATCCTGTATGACCAGAAAGAAAAGGAGTAAACCATGCTAGAGAAGAACATGGTTAGCAAACCTGGGTTCTACTCTTGGCTCTGGTGATTTGCCATTTACCTTGCACACATGACTTCCCCTTCAAGACTCTGAGCTTTTCCATTTACAAAATGATTTTGTGAAGTATAGCCTCCAGGGTATTTCACATTTGAAAGTCTTGGCCTAAAGTTTACAAAATCTCAAATGTGTGAAGGTTTTCAGAAGCAAACCAAGGACAGTGCTTCTCAGCCCTTAACATGTATAAATACAGTATGTCCACTGAGATAGTTTTAAAATGCTAAACCTGGTCTGAGGTGTTTTGGGGGGCTGAAACATTTGTAATATACAGACAGGTAATCCGTAAACTGTTGTTTCACTGTTGAACTGTTGATCACAGTTCAAGTAGCAAAATTCTAGTGTGGTGGTCATCAAACTATCTTCTTCAACTCAGTTGCGTATTTTTCATTGTCAGTACATTTGGTTATGTAGTTAGGCACCATGCAGAGGATAATAAAGCTGAATAAAAGAGACACATTCTCTGCTTGTTTGAGGTTTATTATTGGTGGGGAAGAAGCTGGTGATCATATAACCACATAACTATGTCATTTTAGTTAATGATGAATGATATGAAGTGTAAGTATGAGGGTGAGCTATGAGTATTTAATAAAGAACTTGGTGTTAAAGCAAAGCTTAAGGATATAACAAACTTATTATTTCCATAAAGAGGAGATATACATACAGATGCATAGGGAGCAGGATGGAGGTGGTGAAGCAGTTTTGTTGATGGACAGAGAAGGGGATAAAGAGGGAGACTGGGAAGAGGAAGAGAGGGAAAGTATGTACTGGGACCTGTGATGAGAGTTACATGTTTTTTTTTAGAAGGCATTTAACCTTTTTTTAGGAAACAGGTTGCCTGATAAAAGGGTTAGAAGTAGGGTTATTGACATAGTCTAAGCTGGATCCATTTTATATAGGGTTATTAAATGTTTACAATAATCCAAAGAAAATGTGGGAGACACAATATGGGTTAGACTTAGTATCTGCTCTCTGAGATGACAGAGTTAAATAGGGAGGAGAAGAAATATTCAGGCAATGTAAGATCTAAAGCCATAAAAGAGAGGCAAAGTTCTTCAAGGCAACAAAGACAGCTCCTGGAAGTGGATTTTGAATTGTGTGGTAGATTAGACAGAGTTTAGACAAAAGTGCTTGGGAATGACCAGTTGTACATGATGAAATAATACATGTGTGAGAAGGGTTTGGCAAATATGTGGAGAATTTGACTACAAGCAATATTGTTGTCAAGGCTAGCTTGGAATAAAGATTTATATGCAAAAGAAGTGGGGTGTCATTTGAGCAATCTGATCTGGACAGGCTGAGTGGCTTGATTTGCATGAACTCACACAGATAGTAATGCTATTGCTGAATCTCAGCATGAGCTGCTAAGTGCAATTGAAATGTGGGCTTGGAGCTTAGCAAAGAAGCCATGTGGAGACAGCAGTGTCTCCAGTGTCTCTCAATTTTTGAAATAAGAAAAGAGATCCAACTGTGCTATTTTGGTGAATGTTTATCTTTAGATTAAAAGGGAAGGAGTTAAACCCATGTGAATGCTAGAAAGGAGGAAAGCCAAGAGAGGTTTGGTCTGAGCCACTTACTATTTGGACAGATATTCTTTGAATATATATACTTTTCCTTCAGTGGAGAACACAGTGGTGAACAAAATAGGGCTGTTATTGCCAACTTGGTTTAGATGGGGAGAAAGGACTTATTTGACAAACTATTGAATGATACTGTTGTAAATTATGGTTTTGTGTGGAGTAAAAGGTACTGCTCTAAGAAGGAAGATGTGATCATCATTATTGCATTTTGCAGAAGAGTTGAGTACCAACAAATGACACTCAATTTTGTGCAAACAGTCCTTCGTGCTCTGAAGCACACAGTGCTTACTAACATTCAAGTTGGATGATGCAGATATCTGGCAGGTGATGATACTGCAACAGTAGGGAAAAGGAAAGAATACTCCCTAGGCTCTGGTCCACAGGAGCATAAACTTACTTTAAAATCAGATGGTATGTATTAGCTTAACTTATACTCTTAATTGTGCCAGCATTATCTTCAGATCCCTGGCTTTGTATGGTCAGCAATTTATAGAAAAAGTCACCTGTCAGAAAAAACAAACAAACAAACAAAAAACAAAAAACAAAAAAAAACATTTTTCTGAAGAATCGTATACTAAATATCCTCTTCCAACATGGATTTCTGATAGCCTAGTTTATAATCTATTCCTGAGCTGGATGCTGAGTTTCTTATGACAAATTACTTGTCTTGTATGAGCTTCAATTTTAACAACTGTATGATGAGGGGGGCTGGACTAGACATGAATTATTTATAAAGACTTTCTTAGCTGTAAGGTTCAATAGTGACTGCCCTGCTCTATGGAATACTTTGTTCTCACCACTTGGTGCACATGTTTAAATTTCAGCCACCTACTGAATCAACACTAAACATTTTGACAGAGTATTTTGAGACTTAGGAAGAGGCTACAGGGAAGCCTCTTTGTTGTTGTATTGTTGATATGGCAGAAACTGTGACTGTCCTGTGAGCTAAAGAAGGG